GGGTTATTTAGTTTTGAGAACATTTCCATTGTGAACTCTACCTTCCCTGTCCCCTATTTGGTGCGGCCCTATTTCACTATTGTCTACATACATTATACCAGGGAGCTGTAATGATTACAGCTCCCTGATTATACAGAACAATAACACTTTTATTTGTTAAGCTAAAGGAGCTTATTTTAATTTCCAAGCCCCCTTATGTCTTTGATATTGATATTGTAACAGGATATACATGTACAACTGTTCGAACACTGCTGTCAGTATAGTGTATTTGTGTTGCAATACATAATACATTGTAACTTCCCTTATAATTATTTTCCAGTGGGATGCATTGTTTCAACTACAGATAACCCTTTGAGATGTGAAATGTTTGTGTGATATAATTTTCCTAAAATTTCTTTGTTGGATAACATTTTGAATCAATAGGACATACTGGACATATTGCTGTAGGTCTTAACAGTAATACAGTTGTTTTGAAATAATATGTTAAAATTATAATATTAATGATGAACCAATTGGCATAATATTTCCAGGTATTTATATACTTTGATTTATAGTTTTTCAAATTCTCTTGATTTTGAAGTCAACTTGTGGAATGTTACAAAAGTTGATAATGGTGGTAAAACGTTGTATGTCAACTGGATCATTGCATCAAATTCTATTGAATGGGTTGACGTTAGCGCCATCACTTGTTATAATGCAAGACAAAAACTTACAAAAACAATTAACAGACTTTAGAGTCGTTTTTCTCAAATTGGTTCCTGGTGTATAATCGTGGAATACAACTAGAACATATAGTTTTGATATACATTGTAGTATGCTTTCCATGTTGCTTGTTAAGTGTATGTTAATGGTATTCTGTGTGATTGGTGTTGTCAGTATGGTGTGCAGTATGTCTGTACAGCATGGTTTGTTCAGTCACCAGTATAATAATCATTTAGCTCAGGAGCAGAACTCCTAAATCACATGACTTACCTCTGATAGTGGTCACCTGATTCAAGTCACATGACTAACATGTTGTGATCACCTGATTCATGTCACCTTAGACACAAATTAACAGCTTAGAATGTTATTCTTGCCATTATTGTTCCATGTTACCAATCCAGCACTGCCCCCATCACGTTGTGTCAATAGTAAGTTATTTTAAACAGTACCAGCTCCCAAACAAAACCGTCCTCCAGTACTCAAGAAGTGACTGAACCACCTCAGCAACACTGAGATGAAATAACTAAGCAAATCTTTTTTCCTTCTTCTTTTTCCAATTTCTTCTCTTCTCCTCATTTTATTTTTACTCCATTGTTTTGTGATTTTCTCCCACTAAGTTGAAGCACAGTGGAAGCAATGTAAGAATACTGATGAACCTAATATATACTTTGGTGTACCGTCAATCATGTGTTGTTTTGATATTGATATGTTTCTAGATCAACAACCTGTCTACTCTGCTAACTGTACTTCTCCAACATTTAAATGTATGTGACTTTTTCATTTTTCTCACATCCCAGAATCAATCTTTATAAACTGGTGAGGTTTAGGATTGGGGTCAGGGGTAACTTGTCAATTGGTTCAGGATCGGGTCATGTTGCTGAGCTAAGGTCATGGAATCAGGGGTTACCTGAGAGTAATGTGGTCTTTTGAGAAGGGTCTTAACGTTACTTTTTTAGGGTCATGAAATAGGGTCTTAGCCCCAATATTGGCACTTTATAAGCAAATATGTCATACATATTGAACATGGGGAACAAAACACATTGAACAAATGGTGTGTTTATAGTTTCATATAATAAACATACATGACTGTAAAATGCTCATCACTCTAACCTCTTAGATATTGTTACATTCGAATGCTCATGCTGCCACTAAAACAGGTTTCCAGAAATCACGTCTGTGTAGTACAGTGCAAATTTTACCATTCTGTAATAATAAAATACTATTTACTTTACAAAAGTATTTTTAGTAGGTTTCAATGATTACATGTATGTACCATAGTGTTCATTGGTTTCAAACATTCATTCAGTGGTATCGCTCACACCCAAAGTTGTTCCATTATTCCCACAACTTTGTCTCACCATATTGTTGTCTCTTTATTAATGGCTCTTCCCTCTATTTAATGGTCATTATGAGCCAAGTTAGATTGATTCTGGGATTTACAGAAAACTTTCTCTTCATGTCATCAGAAATGATTCTCCCTGGACAGAAATAATGTGTTTTTACTGCCATTACTCACTGATTTTGTGTGTACTACCTAAACATATAATTAGTATGCTACTAGAATAGACTGCTTTCTACATTCATACCGAGCTAACCCGTTGAACCTAAACCGACAATATCGAGTCAGATTATGGTGTAATAACACAAACTTGAAATCAGTTTGGAGTGCCACTCATACAGAATTGATCATTTATAACTTGTAAATTATATTTTTCAATTGAATTATTCTGAAATAAATTTTGTGAAACAGACAAACTTAAATAAATACATGTTTTTGATTGAGGTTTTACTAGTAACAAACATGCTCAGTAACTCCAGCAAGCTTGT